ATATCTTCTGATCACATCAGGAGAAACTACATGAACTCCCAGTTGGCATGACCCATGCATGACCCATGCATTCCAATGAGTCAGTGATCCTTTCCTTACTAACACAGAACAGTTTAATCTTTCCTATATACATGTTAGCACTTTTAAGGAACTGCAATAAAGGTCTCCTGGCAATAACGAGTATATCCAGTGTTTTTAAGGAGAGCATCTTTTCCTAACTTGTTCTTGTGTTACATCTGGTGATGTAAATTTATGGAATCCGAGGCCTTATCAGTCATGACGCAAAACTAAGACGCATTGTTCACACATAACAAGTTTGTGGTTTCCTTCCTTACTGCTCTTAGTGGTAGAGGAATATATAACACTATAAATTATTGTAGCAAGAAAAGGAGAAGCACATGGGGCAGAAGCTTGATCTACAAGGAATAGAGGGAGATACGCAATCTGAAAAGTCAGGACAAGTGGAATTAGATGGAAGATACATAGATAATACCCAGGCAGACACATAGATAAGGAGAAGTTGTTCTGCTGTAGCAACATTATCCCAGTCCAGGTATAGAGTCAGTGTACCAGTAGAAAGGATTTCTTCCACTGGGAGTCTGTGCGTGAACCTGAAGCAAGGAGGAGATCCACACTGAAAGTTTCACCAATTGTTAATAATTTCCTGAAAAGGAAATCCAAAGTGTTTCTCTAAAAAAGAAAGAAAGTAAATAGGCTTATGTTTATGACCATTTACTTTTTATGTGACCTTCACAGAGATGCTCCTGGGAAATAGAATCACTTTCATTTCACAGAGAAATTAAACCATTATTGAGTTTGAGGTCATGGTTTAGTTTTTTCTTATGCAAATTCTTAATGTAAAATTATTTCAGATAGATCTCTGTAACAATGAATTAGGAGTAGAGCTTAATCATTAAATACATCTTATTATTTGAAACTTCGTTACCCCCGCAGGCTAGACTGCATCCAGATATCAAATAAGTCATCAGAAGACCCACTGACTTATCAAGCCAGATGTCAGAATGCAGACCTGGTCAACTTTTGCTTTTAGACACTGTGGTGTCATTAAAAAGAACTATTTACTAGCAACCATCATTATTTTATGATTCTTTACTCTTGCACAATATTTTTCAGTGAGTGGTGCTAGCATGTGGAAAATGAATTATCCTCTTTGCAGAGAGTAACCCACTCATTACAGCTGCTTCAGCTTTCTATCCACAGAATGAATGCCAGTAACACCTTTCCCCTCACAAAGTGTGATGTTCCCTAAACCAGTAACTACTATCTTAGTTGAGAATCATTGTGCTAATCAGAGACTTGAGACCATTAGTATACTAGAAACTCAAGTATTATGGTTTTTGGAAAGCATACAAGCAGTAACATATTTTCTATCTCAAATTTGTAATGGCTAGATGTATATACTCCTTACAAATGATATCTAATTTATGCTAAATATTGTACTAGATGTAGCTAAAAGCAAACCTATGAAGCAAACATGCCAAAGGATTTAATATCAAATCTCAAAATTTAATCTCTCATGGGTTAAAAGATAAGGAAATTTGTAACAGAAAAATTTGATGTTTTCCCAAATGACTTGTGAAAAATCAGGTTTCTAATGTTTCATGTAATCTTTATTGTCATGACTGAAACTAAGGAGAAAAATCATAAGGCATAATTATGCCACAATAATCACGTGAGTATTTATTTAGAAACTTCATTTTTCTGATTCAAATTTTCAGCTGTTAAAAAAAAAGAAAAAATCAATTCCTAAAGGAAAAGATGCCACAGTACACGAAAAGTCTCTTTATCTGTGGCAAAGAAATATAACAAAGCAAGTATGAATGGTGCAGCCAGTTTAGAAAAATGGAAACTGCTATTAAGTATGACAAGTTGTCACAACAATAGCCACAGTCATCAATATAATCCTAACAGTAAAATAGTATTTGTGTTTAGTTTATTTCAAGGAATTAAGTGATGATTTTTTTCTTAATCAAATTTTGAAAAATGATGGGAAGAATAAAAAACCCAGGAAAAAATTCTCCAAATATGTAGTTTAATCATGTTCTTTAGAGTCATTGCTCCCCGTGTCTCTTTCTCTTCAATGGTTTTTAATAATATCTATTCTTTTATATCTCTTTTTCTTTGCTAGGCAGGAGTTTGTTGCACTTTTTCTTTATGACCTAATATGCTGGACCTGTACTTCCTATTTCTTGGCTTCAGTAAATCAATAGTCAGCTAAAATTGCTCTGTTTTAGTTTTTCACAGCATACGATAAAACTTGCATTTCCTATGATTATTTTACCTATTGTAACAATACCATTCCTTTCATAACTTTAATAGCATCTTGTATAAATATATGATATAATTACTTCCACCTGGTTCTCAGTGAAATGCCTTCACTCTAATTATTTTCACAGACAATGATGAAGCACTGAAATGCAGAAAATGTCTTATGCAGGAAATATACACATATTAGCTCTGTGTTTAATGATAAATATTCCATGCAGTTGTAAAGGGGAGATTAGCTTCACTATTCCTGGAAGTTACTTCTGGTCAATCACTTGGTGCTTTGCCACAGGCTCAGGGCTTAATGGACCAGTTTATTAAGGACTCATAAAATAAATAATAAAACTAGTTGGTCCAACTATACACAACTTTCTGCATTTCTTTGTTCTTTATTATTATTATTATTATTTCAAATGCAGCATTACAAAGAGGGTGAAACAGAGAGAAACCTCCCAGCATTGGTTTGTTCCCCAAATAGCCACAACAGCCAGGTCCATCCCTGCCAGGCCAAAGCCAGGAGCCCAGAATGTCTTCATGGTCTCCCCTGTGTCTTCACGGACCCAAGCACTCAGGCCATCTTCCATTGCTTTCCCGAACACATTCACAGAGTTGGCACCTGTTAGGGATGTTAGCATCTCAGATGGCATCTTAATGTGTTATGCCATGATGTTGCCCTTGCAATTTTCTTTTGAAACTTTCCTTAATCCAACACAAAATAGAAGAGTGTCACACACTAAAATATACATTGTAACAGAGTAATATAGATGGAAATAGTGTAACAGAGACTAAATAGGGACAGAGGTCTTTCATCTGCTGGCCCACTCTTGAAATAACTACAATAGCTGGATCCAATTCAGGCCAAAGCTGGGATCCTGGAACTCAATCCAGGTCTCATATGAATGCAGGGGCACAACCACTGCCTTCCCTAGAACAATAGAGAGTTCAGTCAGAAGCATAGTAGCTTGGACTTCAATCGTGATGGGAGGCTAATTGTTGTGACAGAACTCCAGGTCTTCCTCACTAACAACTTTCTCAATAGAAAGAAGAAATATAAAGGTTTTTTCTAAAGCCCCTTTAATTCTAACTTCTTGGGCTTTTAGCCTGCTACCAGGCCCTGAGTGAGGTCACCAGGGTGAGGCAATAGTATTCTTTGGCAGTAAGAACCACCAGAGACAAGATGGTGAGGAATGTCCACTTTACAATACACAAGTTACAGGTTTTAAACGTTAAGAAAGGGGAAGGCAGGAGGGTATTTTGTGGCAGGCCCCCCACCCACCAAAGACACTGTAATTGGCTATATGACATGTCTGTTTCCCTTGACATCCAATCATATCACCGGTCATGTTTCACAAGTGATTTCACCTTCTATTCATGTCAGAGGTCACACTTCACATGTAGTCCTGGAGGCTGTGCCTCAGGTCATGAGTAGGTAAGCTCTAAGCGACACCCACCAGGTAGCTGGCAGAGACTCAGGAGCAATTGCCCACACTAAATCATGTTCGAAGAAACCAAGTTTTAACTTAGATTTCATGGAACATTTTTGTCCAAGAAACAGTGAATTTTTTTCACAAACATGTGACTTAGCACCAAATCTAAGTACAAAAGGAGAGTCTCACCTGTGGATTCAACATGCAAAGCTGCTTGACCTGATGGGAGTTTCAGATGGCCCAGATGAAGCACTTCCCTTACAGCCATCAACGGGATTTGCTTTCAGGGTGCCACTTTGATTTCATCTGAGTTTTGCTGTAACAGTAACCACTGATACTGTGTATATATGAATTTTTAATCTGAGTGATATTAAGTACTTTCTATTCATTGATGGTCTCAATTGCAACATTACCTTGGTGAAGGGTTTAAAATATGCATTCAGAAGCTAGCAATCTCTCAAATAGGATTTAGCTCATTGTTTATTTTTATTCTCTAGTATAAAGAATGTGTCCTTTTACTCTACCAGTGGGGTGGCATCACTTCCCCTCTGCTAACAAAGTTTGTTGTGCTCTACAATGAGATTTTGACTGCCTAATCTCTAAAGTGCTTTCCAGTGCTGATATTCTTTTATTCTCTGATTCATAATGTAACAATGTTACTGAGACTTTACAAGCAGTTTCTCTTTTTCACTTCATTCTTCTTAAAATGGAAAAGCATGTGGTTCTACCATTGCAAACTCTCATGTCTTGTCCAAAACAGAAAAGTTTAGCAAATTAAGAATTATGAAAAATAATTTTCATGACTGTTTCAAAAACTTGCACAGTTATTGTTTGTGTAGACATTTTCCACCATTTTAAGCTAATATTCATAGCTTAAAATAAAACCCTACTCTTTTTGAGGGACACAGAACACTCTGCACATCCTACTGTGCTACTTTCTGCATGTCTGTACTTGTGTGGGTGTGATTTCTGCAAAGAAATGTCAATGACTGGCATTTATATCCAGTTTGTCATGGCACAGCACAAGTATGTTCTAAATGCAGGCTTAGAATTTTTATCTTAGTATTCTGATGCTTCTAAACTCTCTTTGATTGTAGCAAGAGGAGCTTTCTTTTCAGGAATATAGGTTGATTTTATAAATGTGTAAGATGCATCCCACTTTTTTCACTTCCTAGCTCCTTTGTAAGATTTGACAGCTTTGTTGATTTTAGGTTTTGTTCCAAATAATTGGCAACAACTTTTCCATATAGAAGATTTTGATTAATGTCACTTTTTATCTCTTAAAAGGGTCCTTCCCAGCCTTTGGGGTGGAGACGTTCTGCCCCAGCTTCCTGAGGACAGGGTTTCTAAATAGCATCCAGGCCCCGCATCCAATACCAGGGGGAGGATCTCTGCCCCCCAGGATTCCTGCCGGTAGGTATTTCAAGTGAAATTTTCTGTCACCAACTCTATAATTGTAGTCACAGTTGACAGACCCACAGCACAAACTATTTGTAAGATACATTGTTTAGAGAAAATGCAAGAGACTTTTGAAAATCTGGGAACCATATATGTGATATCTAAGTATGTAAAAATAGCATAATAGAAGTGCATAAGGATCTGAACCCCAAGCACCCAATTAATAGTGCTAATAGTGCTCTGAGGAAGTTTTTGCATAAAAACTAGAGCCACAGATCCCTAATTTGAAACTCAAGAATATGAATTTCAGAAATGCCTTGAATTGCCTAAAAGAGAATTATAAACAAAACGTTCTTGACAGAAAGAGTAATTCCACATTTATATGAGTTGATAGAGATTAAATTCCCATGTTGCTGCAGAAAATTATTTAAAGGTATGCCAGAAAGTAATGAACTTAGGTAAATGTGTGTGTGTGTGTGTGTGTGTGTGTGTGTGTGTGTGTGTGTGTGTGTAAGCAAAGCAGAATGTATTAATTTACAAAACTACTGCTTCAGCCGTCATGGGGGGGAAAGGAGAGGAAAACCTGAAAAATTTGGCTCAAGTGGAGTCTGTTAAGCACAGATTTAGGGGCGGAAGAGGGGGACAGAGAATAGCAACAGTCAGAGTGGGGATATGAAATTTAAAAGACAGCAAGTCTAATTCTTTCTAGCTTGCGCAAAAGAAAAAGCCTTCTGAGAGGTGTGATGGGTAGCTTCTTTCCATTCTCATGAAAAACCTCATAAGGACAGTGATACTGCTTTTCAGCTATTCTCATGTGAAACCTGGAAACTGAGGATCAGGACTGATATTCCAGTAGGGGTTCCACCTAGCTGTCCATTGCTATTATGACATAATTGGAAACTTGGGAATAAGATTAGTATGTTCCTTTGCTAAAAGCAGCTTTTGAAACAAGTATCTTTTAAAGAAACCCGCTCTTTTCGTTCCACCAAGGATCTGGCCCTATCTTTCAGTCTATCTTTTAGTTTTTCTAAACTCGTATGCTCCCTTCCCCAGAAGAATGAACCCCAACAGCTGTTAAGAATATGGGGCCGATGACTGCTCTAGCTGATTCTTGCTGAAAGGGGCATCTCTGAGGGACAGCAGCCAGGCCTTCCTCTAAGGGGAGTCCTTGGCCATCTTAAGACCTTTTTCCCCCATTTTTCACGAATGGTCAATCCATGAAAGAAATGGAGATTAAAGCAATGTCTGCTCCAGCCTGGTTAGCAAGACTGACTCCTGAATTTTAAGATGGACCATCATTCTATTTGCTTTTTAACTGGGTGACAGGAGCCCCATGTTTCTGAGAAAGTTGCTAATGGAGCATGAGAGTCACCAGAAAAACAGAACTCATTTGTTCACCTGTTCAGTGAGACAATCTCTTGCTGACTGCAGTCAAATTCTAAATGGATCCAAGCTGTATTGGAGTGCAGACCCAAGCTGTGTCAGGAAAATCAATGCAAAGAATGGAAGCAACTTCAGTTCTTGCCTCACACAAAAAGAAGGATTGTCATGCAGACCATTTCAGTGAACAAGGCAAGATTTATTAGAAATGTATTTATTAGAAACATCTTGCTGAAGCTGTCAGCAGGAGGACTCTGTGAGAGGAGGACCTCTATGTAAAATTTTTGAGAAAGAAAATGTATAACTAGTCCTACATAAAAATATGAATTTGACCAAAATCATATTTGATTAGAAAAAGCACAGGATATTGAGCATGTTAAATGCATTTCAAGCTTAGCCAAACACTCTGTGAATTATCTATAATATTGCACTCACAGGTTGCCTCTTCTCTGTCGTTTAGTATAATATCCAGCTGTCTCCTCCATTTGTACCTGAAGATTTAAAATCTAGTATTTTATATATAACTTAGCAAAATAGAAGTAGTGCCCATTCTAATTAAAAACTTCACTTAAAGTTTTTACCATAAATCATGTATTTTAGCATAATTAATGATGGTGCAACAAGTTATAGTAACAAATTCAGTGTGTCCAAGAGGCCTGGTCTACCCAGCAATATAATGGAAATGTTTGAAAAGGATGGGAAGGGCCTGGCACAGTAGCTGGTGGCTAGGATCTTCACCTTGCAAGCTCCAGGATCCCAAATGGGTTCCAGTTTGTACCTTGGTTGCACCACTTCCCATCTAGCTCCCTACTTATGGCCTGGGAGGGCAATAGAGAAAGCCCAAATCATTGGGACCTTATACCCACCTGGGAGATCCAGAAGAGGCTCCTGCCTTCTGGCTTTAACTCAGCACAGCTCCAGCCACTGTGACCATAAGGCAGGTAGGGGGATTGACCAGTGGATGGAGGATCTTCCTCTCTGTCTCTCCTTCTCTCTGCACATCTGACTTTCCAATAAAATAAATGAATAAAAGATTTCTTTTTAAACTTAAAATGATGTGAAACCCAATTCAAACAAAATTCCAACATTCTGAGTATTGTGTTTAATATACTTTATTTACAAAACATAAGATTATAACTCAGATTGTTTCTGTTCTCTGGTACCCTTGTCCACTTAAATTAACCATATTTTAAAAGCAACAAATTTTTAATTTTTAAATTTTATTATTGTGTAATTCACTTACATGATTAGAGTTTTATAGTCTTAAGGAGCCAAAGTTAAGTGAAATAAAAATTATGGATATCATACCCCCTTCTTTATAGCTGGAAACAAAAGTGATACCAGTTGAATAGTAATTTTATGAGTATTTTTTGCTGCTCTTGCAAAGAATCAGAAAGAAAAATCTATTTAAGCTGAGCTTTTAACTGCAGTAAGAAAATGTATCTTTCATATATATAATTAATAACTCAGTGATTAGAATTGAGATGAACAGATGCTTTGTATTTTAATGACTTAACCCTTAATTCTAAATTAAAAATATGGGGAATTTAGATGTGATGTGTTTAGAAAAAAATGACATTATGAAGTTCAGCAGTGAGTTTAATTATTGAACACCATGGATAAAAAATAATAATAACCCTGTCACTTAGGCACTGGTAATAAGATAAGAAAGATGATCTTTCTACAGCACAGATTGTTTTCCAGAGAAGTACTTGAAAGAACCTTCTAGCACTCTAGACTTCTAGGCTTTAAACCAAATGACCTCTGGAAATTGTGGGAGATGCACACACACACAAAACAAACCTCAGTTGTTTTCATGAGTTACATACAAATCAGAAGTAACAGAACTGCTGCATTAAAAATTTATAAATCTAAGCTTTTGTTTCTCAAACTACACCAATTCAACTCACTTTACCTGGATTATATCATTCTGATACATAATGCCCAGACACTTTGATAGTGTTGAATGAAAACTGCTGTGAATCCAAAGATAATTTGTATCTATCCCTATCCCATGCTTGCTTATTTCTCCAGAATTTCCTTTATAGGCTTGTATAAAGAGAAATCAAACAATAATATGAAAAATGTTTACTGTTTCAAATATGAAAGACTCTAAAGAGTCTCTGTGCTATCTAATGGCTGAACTGTTGATTCTTCAGATTTAGGACATTAATTTGGGGGGAGGAAGCAGTTCTTCCCATTGCCTACCTCATGACACTTTAAATGTCTGGCAGAAGCTTAATGTCTACTAGGAAAAAATAGTTTTCCACTGATTGATTATATGTCAGAGTGTTTACTTGGTCTCATCAGACATTTGCTGTGTCATTCAAGGAACTACTCTAGTATATTTGTTCTAGTATATTTGAACTGTTCTAGTATATTTGTAATTTGATTCTTAATTCTCATCTTCGTACAGTTAAAATAAGTGAGTATGTCTCATACGAAATTGATTCATGTTACACTGTGCTATCAAAGAACATTACTTCTGTGATGTTTCATTTTGCCCTGATGTTAGTAATTGGAGAACCACTAAACCATCACAGGTAGAAAGAAGAAATACTGAAATCTGTGTTTATGTAGAAGGAGTCACAGGTTTATAAAATTTCTCAGTTCCAGAAAGGTCACAGTAAAGAGTTATTATCGCTGATTTCAGATGAAGATAAGCATCAAGAATTATTAGCTCAAGTTGAAATGTGTAGGATGAAATACCTTTTCTACAGTAGTCACCCAATGAAACAATAAATGTTCAGGAAAGGAGAGAAAAGAATATGGAGAAAGAAGATTCAAGTGGAGAGAGTAAATTAGAATGACATAAAGGTGAAATTTTATGTTTTGAAGCAGTCTTCTCTCACTGTATTAAAATCAAATTATATTCCTTGAAAAGAATTAGTGTCCCTTTATGAACTGTATACTTGAAATAATTAACTTGTTCACTTTATTCCCTATGGTTATTTTTTTTAATTCTATGGTCGTACAATATGTGCTTATATAGAGTCTTGACCTAGTTTGTTTCCTTGGCGTAGACTCCCACCTCTAGTAGTTTTATATGCTTCCCATATTCAGCTGAAAACAAAATAACAAAGATACTGAAAATACAATGATACACTAGTAGTGTTGAACTAATGTATAAAAGCTTCATTGTTTTATTGTCATTTCACTTCGGTAACTGATACCAGGAAGTATCTTCAATTTATGGGAGGTCCAACCATTCAAGGTGTCTTAGAACCCAAGCTTCCTTAAAATGCATCAATCTTTATTCCTTACCTGCTAATTACTCTAAATAATCTTATTATTTGAGTATGATTGGATTACAGAATTTGAGCTTACAATGTTCCATCAGTTGCGGATTTTATAATATGTTTTAATCATGAAATACCAGGTATATAGATTAGATTATACCAAATTCAAGTATGTACTTTAGACCAAAAGTTTTCCCATTTTAAGCAAGTCAGTGAAAGGTGACAGATTAGGGAATTTAGAAATAGATATGTTCTAGGAAAAATTATTCTAAAGTTCTTAATATTTCCTTTGGGGTGTCTTGGAATCTCTTTAGCTAAAAGAATGTTCTTCTGAACACTCTCTAGTTTGCCTGCCTGTGTGTAAACACATGTGGCATAAATAACCCTGAATATCCC